TTCCAATTTGAGCCCCTCCATTCAAAATCAAACAAGGCCTTGGAATGAGATTGAAATTAGTAAGATATCAGATAATTCTAATATTCACAACATTTCCTGCTTAAAGGTGTCTGCTGATGAATTTGCAGCTAAGAATATGATTGAGGAATCCATTAGCATCAAAAGAAAGTTAAAGTCTTCTTCTGTTTTTGGCTTCCAAGAAAACTTCATTATTGTGCAAGATTCTAATTCAAACTGCAATTCTTCACCAAATGTTGCTGAAAATTGGGATTTCAGCTTACAGTCGAGCTTATGAGCCATTTTCGATCAGCAAAAGTTCATTAAACGGTAAATCCATTACAATTTAGTCATTTAAATTCTGAGTCTGGATAAACGATAATGTATTTCTTCTTATTGTTTCTTGCAGTTCTTCAAACATATAGGAACCATGGTACGCCTATACTTAAGGTCAAGATCAATGCGTGGTTTTTCCTATTCAAGTAATGTAAGCTTTACTAGTCTGAACCTTCCATGAATGTACTGAGGCTAATATTATAGTTTTCTCCGGATTTTCTATGTGTCTCTATCGATTTCTATATGCTGATGCAAAGATTTTATTACTTACATACACACATTGAGTTGACTATCATTTACTGAATACTATGATTTACACTTCTTAATCCTTACAATCACTACAAAAAACATGGCTTCAGGCACGGATTTTTCACTCTTGAAACCACGATATCCTTGCTATTACTTTTTACCAACGGAATATTAACAACCACAAATCCGTTGTTAACTTGGAGGTCATTGATAGTTATCAACATATCGCGCTGTAGATAAAAAGTAAACATTTTACCAACGAATTTTTCGTTGGTAAAAATCTAACCATCACCAATCAACTTTCCGTTGGTAAATGTCTACCATTACAATTGGTAAAAATAGGTGTTGTAGATAGCCACATAGGAGTGAGGTGTGGTAAAAATTAAAAAAATTAAATTAAATTAATTATTGTTATTATTATTTTTCAACTTTTAGCTAACT